AGTAGTAAAATTGGTTTTGAGTGGTTTGAGATTGCTAAGGACTAATAATGTAAAAATCTGAAATTGCAAAAGAAGAGGAATGAGCAAGACCTAAACTGAAATCAGAACAATACCATGATTTATCACAACAATTCTTCAGGTCTGGTTTAAAAGGAAACCAGGGAATTATATATAGAACTATAAACAGAAGAACAAGGAATGAGAAACAGTACTCAAAAACACACCTGTAAGGAGAATGCCTGCTTAGGAGCAAAATCAGGAAATTAGACTGCCCTTTGCAGAAACGTTTTAGAATTCTAAACATACCATCATCATCATAGTAAATGCGAACATCTCCTTCTGTTGTGTACATGATTGCATCAATGTCAGCTGCTAAAGCATCCCTGTGGTTGTCAGGGAGCAAAGAAATCTTTTCCTTCAGCACCTGAAGTACCTAAATTCAGACAAATTGTCAGTTTTTCATTAGGAAATAGGAGTAACAATCTTTTCTACTGCAGTTAATAAAATGAGCTGTATCACTAAACATTTGCATAATGTATAAAACAGTGGAAATGATAATGCACTGGAAAGCTTGGGCAATCCCAAACCCCAATTAAGCAATATTAAAGATCAATTTAATCCTCAAGTCAAGGAAAACAAGGCATTTAAAAAAATGTTTGGAAAAGGCACTGTCAAAACAGAAGTTGTGCAGCAAGGCCCAAAAAATACCAGCTTAGCTTGCTTCCACAATCATACTTACACTCTGCCTTCTCACTTCTGATTTCCAAGTGTATATTCCTTAGCTTTTGATTAAATGATTTCTTAGTTATATCTTACAAATTTCTTTGAAAATCAGTTCCATTATCACTAAATTTACCTTTGCCACTTTGTGATCCATATTTCCACTACACAAAGTTTATACACAATCAGAAAAGACTGAAAAATCATTGCTCTTGTTCCATATCACATTCACATCCATATCATTTGAGTGTCCTAAGATCTACAAAGCTGTGACAAGTAGAAGGGTGTGGTGCACAAACTGAACAGAGGCATCACCTCAAATACCACGTGAGAAGGACATGCCGCAGTGAAGGATGAAGCTATGCAGGATTTATTTTTAACTCATACTCAGTTTTTAGCCTAACTTGAATTGCCACTTTATAATAATGAACAAATCCAGAGGTCCTATGGAAGCAAGAGGCAGTTTTCACTAGAAGACTTTGGTTTCTAATACATTTCACTAGCCAAAGCAACAACAAAGCAGTGCAGCCACAGACATGTGACATGCTCTGGTCACATGAAGTCTCTGTATCAGTGTTAACCTAATCACCTGAAGAATTTAAGATGAGCAGAGGAAGAGGAGATGCTCTTTCAAAACAACTATAAGAAAAAACCTCACATTTTATTGCTATCTCTGCTCAGAGAGAGAAGGCAAGATTGTCCAGTGGGGATGCACTAGAACACCAAAATTTTTGCTGCACAGGCATGAGTGGTAATAGGGCAGGCCAAGCTGACATCCAGTAACAAGGCATAGGCCTGAAGTATCTCCTCCACTTGACTCTGAAGCATCTGCTACTTCTATCTCCTGGGAAGGCCAAGACAACTCCAGCAATTAAAAATTCATAAAAACACAGAACGCATAGCACTGATGTTTAACCAGCCAGGTCAGCCATACCACTGAGCCCATGATACAAGAGTGAGGCCTTCCAGCTGAGACCAGTAACTGGCTGTATTATTTGCTTGGGGGTGGGAAAGCATTAGTGCAGCAAGGATGAGCACAGATCAGTTCCCTTCTTTGTCAGAATTCTTGTGCACAGACCAAAAGCGTCAGCTACCTGCCAAAACCAAGAGAGGTATGCAATTCCACCTGCTAACCAGAACCCACTGCCTTGCAGTCCTTTCTGGTACACCAGCAATCTTTTTGGCAATTGCCCTTATGCTCAATGGCAGGATTAATTTTATTTCTTTAAAAATACAGTAACTTTAACTTAAATTTCATGCCTTGAAATGAAACATAAAAAAGCTGCAGGACAAACAATTGCTCTGTTCCGCATTATGCTGTTCTCATACTAAACCAAACTGACAGTATTGGTAGATAATGAAAAGCTGAATGCATGTTACTTCATAATGGAAAATCAATTGCTAGAATAAGAGACAGAAATAATTTACCTCTGCTGATACAAGTTCATCCAGCAGGTCAAGTTTACGCTGAGACAGCAGCTTTGAAACAACAGAAAAGGCCTACAAAAAAAACCCAAAACAAACAAAACCAAAAACCCCATGAACAAGTAACACTGAGTTGGTTTATTTTTCAGACAAACCCATCATTATGCAACAAGGTACCCAAATATTCCATGATTTAATATTTCAGCGTTTACAGAGTATATCACCATTGAAATGGAAACTCTCCAGCATTAACAGAGTGATTCCACCAACTGATAAAAACATAGGGTTTCTTTTCAGTCTCCCATTTAAGGCATCAAGCCTTTTTGGTAACAGGCAAGTGAATGAAAAGTTTACTACAAAAAAAATAAATATTAAAAAAAACCCCTGGTTTAGTCTCCAAGTTTCAGGAAACTCAACTCCCCTTTTCCCATCAATTTTGCATGCAGAGTTACATACAATAATGCCTCTGCATATTCAAATAGTGTGCTTGTGAAATGCTGACTGTTTCAGATGCTACAGCAAGTGAAAACAAAGAAATCCAGGGCAAGGTAAAACCAGTGGTTCTGCACATGGACCAATTAATTTGGTATAGAGTTGTTTACTTTTCTATCTGGAAGTGATATTAAGCATTTTAACGTTGTGTACTCTTATCATCGGGTGTGCTGGTTTGGGTTTGCTTATTGTTTGGTTGTTGGGGTTTTTTAACACAATAACTGAAGTTTCACAACATTTTTTACATGATTCGCTTTGAGATCACTACCTCTGCCACACTAGGATGACAAAAGCTTATTCGGTTCATAAATTTGGAGAAACAAATAAATGCACCAGGTCTATGCCTGCCTAAGTTTTTTCATTTTAGTAAAAACAGTCTCTACATCATCTACAAGCACCTTCCTTCATGCTACTTTGGGGGATGGCTGAACCAGCTCATTTTAATTATGAAATCTGGGAAAATGAGAAAAATCTGAAGAAAAGCACACGTCTGATAACTCTCACTTCCTTCAGAGGTGAGGCACTTGGAGCCACTTTTACACACGACAGAAAACAGGCGCTACGATCTCCACACGCAAAATTAAAGGCGGGCACGGACGGCGCCTCGGGGCGGCCGGGGGGGTCCCTGAGGGGCGGCCGGGGGGGTCCCTGAGGGGCGGCCGGCACAGCGCGGGCACCTTTCCCCTCGGGCCTGAGGGGCCTCACTGGCCCGGGCGACCCCGCTCCGCCGCCCCCCC